AACTTCCATCGAACTCTCGAACTCCCAAAGTGATCATGAACTTGACTCCGGCGCAACTCCTGCTGCTTGTCTACTTTCATCGTAGTTAATCCTGCACACTCAAAACAAAAACTTCGATCGAGATAATTAATCCTAAGCAATTAACCAAGTTGTCCGGTATGTCATTGGTCCCTCGACGCTTCGTCCGATTCTTCGGCGCATCGTCCTTTCCTGCAGCCTATTGCCCAATCGGCCAGTTGACTCCGCAACTCTGATATTCTTGGCACAATACCCGCTCTTCTTGGCCCGATGCCCGAGTCCACGACCCGAAGCCTTCTGTCGATACGTCAACCGATCCACCGGCCCGACGTCCAATCTTCTGACATGTTCCTCCGGCACAACATGATGTTCCTGCTTTAATTGTCTCATCCTAATCGAAGCACCCTGCATCACTCAAAATGCAGATTAAATCATAAACATATATCAAGGAGTTTCATCATCAAAATACGAGATTCAACAGGAGCTCGATCTTACGGGGGCATGATAACAGAGAGATTTCCTCTGATAACAGAGAGATATCCTCAACTGCATAGCAGATGAGATTTCCTCAACTGTATGAGGCAATCTCTCTGCTCAGTTAAAGAAATCTTATCTTTCACCATGTATAGATAGACTTCATATGATACTAATTGAAGTGTGCTTTTCTTCATTCTCTCAATTCTTCAATGGACAGTAACTTCTTCATCACTAAGAGATTGGTTGTCTCAAAGATTAAGCCATGCATGTGTAAGTATGAACTATTTCAGACTATGAAACTGCGAATGGCTCTGATACCATGATAAAAATAATAGAAGATAAGAATAATTATTGAAAAAGTTTTATTGAAGAAGCTTTATTGAAGAAGTGAAAAAACTTAAATACATTAACATGTCCCTCTCCTATTTATACAAATTAGGAGGAAGGATTTGTCAAGGATACCAATCTTGGATGATCGATATAAAGAATGGTTTACGAGCGAGAGTCGTGAGTAGAGCAAGTGCAGATCGCTGTTGTTGTTGCGATTGCTGTTGCTGTGAGGGCACAGGCGTTCCTTTTATTCCCCTTAAGTCCGCCCTTCGTTCTCCTTAAGTCCGTCGATTGTTGGCAGATTAACAAAGACTATCGCGATGAGGAAGATGAGGATTGGCCACGGAGCCTCTTAGGAATTTGACTACAGTGGCGTTGGTCGCTGGCCGAAGGCAAGGGTGAAGTTTTACTTTTCTCAACGACGTTGGTCACTGGCCAAAGGCAAGAGCGAAGCTTTGCTTTTCTCACTGCTTTGATACCATGATAGAAATAATAGAAGATAAGAATAACTATTGAAGAAGCTTTATTGAAGAAGTGAAAAAACTTAAATACATGTTAGAAAGGGATATGTTAATGTATTTAAGCTTTTTTACTTCTTCAATAAATCTTCTTTTCTTATCTTTTATTATTTTCATTAGCGAACATATTCAAACAGGCAATAATCTCATATTTTTAAATGTGAGATTATTTCACTCACATTTGTGAAAACAAGTAAGAATTTGGTTGATCCGTTCACCAAACCTTTTATAAGAGAAGTTGTAAGATCAACATCAAAATAGATGGGGCTAAAACTCCTTCAATAAAAGATCCGCCAATGATAGCAACTCTACTCAATATTATGAAATGAGTAATGAAGAGTTCAAAAGGTAAGAACAAGTCATTGACATGTGGAGTGGTTCAACACTTAGAAATATTTTATGAATCCCATCTAAAGATGTTAAAGTGCTGGTCGTCACCGAATGAGGGTTGAGTTAATTATACTATTAATGAAGTTCGGTCAAGTTAGGACAAGTATCTCAAAGAGTGACTAAGATACTGTAATAACTTCACCTATATGAACTTAGAAGTGGTGCCGCTTCCATTGAGAGTTGGAGTTTTTCTCATAAAAGTTCATGAACTTAGATGTGCCTAAGGTCATATTAGGACTTGAGTAAGAATTTATGAGGAATACAAGGATGTTATATTTATATGTGTAGTATCAGTAGTGTTGTCATTAGGAATAACAAATTAAAAACTTTTATGCTACTTGAGATTTCGACTTCATTTTGTGATGCTTACACTAAGGTAATATTCAAATATAATATATATTATTTTATTTATAAATACTATTTAATCACTCGGAGAAAATTTTAAATTTAAATAAGTGGGGGATTATTATAAATTATTCAAATTGAAAAAAAATTCTTTTCAAAAGATTTATTTGAAAATATGGTTTCCTTTATAGTTATTTTTCAAAGATTGTATCTTTTATAAAAATATCTATAAATAGGTATGAGTGTAAATTATCAACACATTTCTTTCATATTCTTCTTCATTCTCTAATTCCTTTTTGAAGATTTTTTATTGTTTGCTTAATACAGATCTTCTAAAAGTTTATCATATCGACTAAAATTATTTACATCGAACCCATAGCAATCTAAAATTATTTACATCCAACCCATAGCAATCTTGTTGAGAAGAACATGCAAATATTATTTTTAAGAAAGTATTTATACACATTTCAAGATTAACTATATTTCCTTATTCTTAATATTGTGTTTGTTATTTGTATTTTCATTCTATTCTTGGTTATATTTTTCAACAATAACTCGAGTAGGAAAGTGCACGTCACGCACGCTCGGTTCATTGCATGGGTCCAGCAATCGAAAGCCAAACAGAACGCGTTTCGATAAGACACAGCAACAATGGCGAAGAACAGTTCGGATTAACCGTCGATTACACCATGAGATTGGTGGTTGGAATAACAACAGGAGGAGGAGGAAGGCTATGATCTACGCTGCTAAATCTGCTATTTGCCGAAGATTGCTTCCCATATGTCGGCAAATGCCTCGAGGATGACTTGGTGGTGGCGAGGGGAGTTCAGGGAGAGGTAGGAGTTGAGGAGGCGCTCCAGGTCGCGAGCTCTGCTCATGCCGCGCTCCACGATCATCTCCACCATGGAGCTCCGGAAGTCGTTGTAGGGGTCGCAGGACCGCGTGACCACCGCGAACCCTGCGCTGGGCGTCCCCTTCTTCTCCTTCGAGGAGATGGAGACCAGCGGCCGCAGTTGGTCGATCCCACCGCAGGAACGCCCTCGGACGTGCTTCGCGTGCCTTCTCGGCGGCCGCCGGGTGGACTTCATGCACTTGCTCCTCCTCTTGTTCTTCTTCCTGCTGTGGTGGTAGAACTCGGAGGAGTCGGAGGAGAAGCTCTTTGAGGAGAACGGAGTCCCTGACTCTTCCTCCGGCGCTTCGTCGCTGCTGAAGAGACGGAGCTCGTTCTCGGCATCCAAGGAAGAAGAGCTGGTGAATCCATAAGAGTTGGACAACAGCTTCTTTGCTTCCACTCTCCGACCCTTCGTCCTACTCCCACAAGCCTTCTTGCTCCTCTGCTTAGCATCATAGTAGTTCACAGACCCGATCACAGCCCTCCTCCTCTCCTTCTTCTTCTCATTCCCTTCCTCTTCTACCTCCTCCTCCTTGGTCATCAGAGGAAGGAACTGCTCGGAAACCTGGCGGGCGCTGCAGTGGATAGGGACATGCACGACACCCACATCGTGCTTGCGGCGACCCGGACCGGGCTCCTCGGCCTCCGGGTGCTGCGGGCCGGCGCTGGTCTGGCCAAGGATGGCGGCCGCAATGGTGGTGGAGCACGAGGAGCCGAGCAGCAGCTGAGCAAACCGATGCTTCAGCTTGACGCTGCTGCTACTGCTTCTTTTACTGTTGGACTTCTCCATCGTCAACGCCTGTTTGCATGTGCTTGTCTCCCTCCCTCCTCAATGGATGCTTCAGCCAACGATGGCGGTGTGGCTCGTGATCCATATATTTAGTGCCTACTCTTCGGAAGGATTAGTGAGTGGATTATTCATATCAACACCGTATGCAGCCTAAACACTTCGATTAACAGCAAATTAGGGTGCTGTAACATCTTAATTACCAACGGTCGGTTTGCATTTAACGAGCACTTTGAACGGTGCACAGTATATTCGTACCACTTGTTCTTACGGAAAACGAAGTGCATGGAGATGCTCTCTTCCTCTATAAACGAGCACCAAAACACGCCCACCAATTTGATTGCCACATATGAGAAGGAAAGGGGGCTACAAGTCGCAACAACATGGATACACCATGTCGTAAAATAAGGCAACTGTAGGAAGGAATCTGGGATGTGGCTTGTGACTTGGCTCCTTGTGTCACAGGCACACAGGCCATCTCACGCATGTGACTAAGCGATAGACAACTTGCGACAAGAAAAAGGGGTATTATTTTTGTCGAACGCCTCGTCTGCATGCATGGAAGGGGTTAGCGAGTTGATATATGTACAGATCTACATGCTGGTCGCTTGTAGTTTTATACTAGGCGAGTAATATATTTATACAGCCTTCATAACACCCTTTTCCACGCCATTTATTTCACGAGTCTCGTGGACAACAACACAAAACGAACAGAGCGAACACATTCGATGAATAGGGAAATATTAGGAATTGCGATGCGCAGAAAACAGTACCTGTTTCATCCTATTTGAACTTAAATCTGACCTGACACATGCTTAATTTCATAGCCAAATAAAAGATCAAAACCCGATTAATCATCAATATCGTTAAACCCAAGAAAGATAAAACATGATTTACCCACAAATTTTACGTTACCACGACATTATTTCACAAAAAATTTGATTAAAAAGCTTAATATGGATCTTATTGGGTGAGGAAGACGATGAAGATAGCAGTAGGCTAACAGATGTCAGTAAGCTTTTGCACGAGATTCAACGTTGCGATATTACTTAGTTCAAATAAGAACTTCAGACCGACTATTAGTAGTAGTAAAGAGAAGAATGCTCTTTCAAAGTACAACAAAACTATATAAGGACTCTCACGGGCGTTTAACCAAACATAAGGTGGGAGGCAGCAGCGTTTGGTCGAACGGAGTTCTAAGAGCTATAAATCATAGTGATCCAAGTTTTTACATGATAAATCCGTGTTCCAATAAGAGACTTCAAAATCCTTGACTCAGCCTTTTCGCCCACCCGCATCACGTTGTGGTTCAATCTGGTGCGTCCGTTCCATAGAATTTCATCGATGATGGGCAGCAGCAATGGGGTATTTTAGATGACCGGACACAGCTTACAAACAAGACGGTTGTCAGATTCATATTAATCCCTACAAAAAGATTTCACTGTTTCGATAATTTAAGGTTAAATTAAGTACAGTATTCACAATTCAAATGAGATAATAAAGAAGATATCTACAAAACAAATAAATAAACCAACAAAATCATCATAATAAATTATGCTCTGCACCAACGAATATGAATTCATAGATGACAGCAGAAGAATCACTTAACCCGCAATTCTCAGTATTATGTATTCATTAATCGCATTAATACACATTAATCCATAGCTATAGAGATCTAAGTAATGAAAGAGCGGAAAAGGCAAACAATAAGATGTGGAGGTCATCAGATAGGAGCGAAAGACGTTTCAAATAATCATAACCCACAAAAAAGGGGTTATCATTTGAACTATGCATCCGATCATCACGCGACCCCTCAATCCGACCGATATAAACCCAACATAAAAAATATCATTAAGTTTATTGTCAATAGATGAAAGATTTAGAAACAAAGCAATGGTCCGAGAGCAATCACATCAAGACACTTATTGTTGATTGCAGCAAAAGTTACATCAGATCTCATGAGCAAGATGGGAAATTGGCCTCATAACGAAATCGATTCCACATGGAAGAAATTCAGACATATGCTTGTCATTAAACATTAGTATAATCATCAGCCAAACGAGAGATCAGAAAAACAGAAGACGGCAATTAAGACTTCCGCAGCTAAAGATCCGAAGCAGGGAAAAGAAGAGGGCGGGGGAGTCGGACTCGGAATATGGGTGGTGATATATCAGGATGGTTGGCAAGGCGGCGATGCCGCCGTTACGAGGACCGAGACGTTGATGAATCACATTCGTCATCGCCCTCCTCCGCCCCCATGCGATGGATTCCATAAACCAAGGCGAGAAAGAAAGGAAGTAGACAAGAAAACCCTAGAACTTAAAAGTATGAAAAGCAACGTAGGAAAAACAAGTACGAGATCTCGACGAAGCGCCTTCTCGAGTATTTATAGACGGTACCGAACGGTTTTAGAGTTTGGACTTGGTGAGATCGCATCTCGGCCGTCCGAAACTGTGGAAGGTAAAGGATCCAACGGACTAGAACCTTTGCTCCCCCGATCGTAATTGAAAGCAACAATCCCGCAGCCGAACCGGTAAAAGTTTTTCGAGTAATGAAAATATATGCTCGGATTTTTACGATAGCTCATGTTCATGAAAAAACTACTCATTTTTTAAAATATAATTAATACCGCCCCGCCCACTCCCCCGCCCCCCCCCCCCCCCTTTTATCTAGGATTATTTTTCTCAAATTTTACTTGGGACTATATGTATTTTTTATAAATATCATGGCCTTTTCATTGTTGTTTAGAAAAATAAATCTTAACTGATCTACAAGCGATTATCGTAAGATCACCTAGATTGATGGATTAGAGAGATTGAGAGAAAAACTTTAATCTTTCAACTGCATTCCTTTTTTTTAGCCCTTAGAGGTCTTGTAAGCAGAGTCTAGGATAAATGTTATGTCTATTTATAGGCGAGAGAGCAGAGGGTCTAGGATAAGTTATTGGGAGAGTTCCTCCCATCAAGGTTATCTCATATGGAATTCTACTTTAACATTACCTTCTTTTCTATTGACCAATAACCATAATCAGAATACAATCATATCTATAACATATCTTATCTAATTAAATAGGATCACATAATTTAACATTCTCCCACTTGACCCAATAATTGATAAGATACAAAAAGACTTAAAATAAAAAAAATAAATAAATAAAATTTATTTAAAAATAATTTGACCCAATTGAATTCTAAAATTTTAGAAAAACTATATACACGTGCGTGAATTTTAAAAATAGGCCAATAAGTCCAATAAATATAATAATATTATATTAAGTCTGATCAACAATATGAGTCATAGCGGTTATATGCCATCAGTGCCACACTTGTTGAATCTCGAATTTTGATGATGAAACCAATTGATAAGTGTTTATGATTTAATCTGCGTTTTGAGTAATGCAGGATGCTTCGATCAGGAAGAGACAATTAAAGCAAGAAGAATCATATTAGGCCGGAGGAAAACGTGTCAGAAGATTAGACGTCGGGCTAGAGGATCGGTTGACGTATCGACAGAAGGCTTCGGGCCATAGATTCGGGCACCAGGCCAAGAAGAGTGGATATTGTGCCAAGGATATCGGAGTTGCGGAGGTCAACTGGCCGATTGGACAATAGGCCGCAAGAGAGGACGATGCACCGAAGAATCGGACGAAGCGTCGAAGGACCAATGACATGGCCGACAACGTGATTCAAACTTAGCAATAATTGCCTAGATCGAAGTGTATTTTTGTGTGTGCAGGATTGACTATGATAGCAAGGCATAAAGCAAAATAAAGTCCCGGAGTCAAGAACGCGATTTCATTGGGAGTTCGAGAGTTCGTCGGAAGTTCTGCCGGAACCAACCGAGAAGTCCAGGAGCTTGCCAAAGAAGCTCATCGAAATTCGCCAAGAAGATCATTGTGAAGTCCAGGAGCTTGCTAGAAGTCCGCCAGAACATTGTCGAGAGATCGTCGGAAGTTCGTCGAAAGCTCGCAGGAAGAAATCATACTTATCTTGCTTAGAATATGTCTTAGGAATCGTAGTTAGCACATAATTAGAGTTGGGATTGGGAGGTAATCTCATTAACTCTGTTAGGGGCCAATTAGGCCAAAAGCTGGACTGGTTTGGGCCGGATTCAAGGCCCAATCAAGGTACTGAAACCTTGGCCGACGGTGGCACCAAGGCTGGCGGTGGCACAGCTTGGGGAACAGCACCCCAGGATTCTTGGGCAGTGGTACCGTCAGCAGCAATGCTGCTAACGATGGTACCACCCCTGTTTGGCAGTGGTACCACCTAGTACCAGATCCTACGACGATAATATCGCCTAGGAACGACGGTGGTACTGCCAGTACCTAGGAAACTTGGGATGAGACCTTTTTAGGCTCTAAGTTTGAATCAATTTGAAGCCTATAAATACCCCTCTCATCCCTGATTAAATTACACAAGCACAGAGAGTTTAAAAGTGAAGAAACGCTGTTGTAATCACTTGAGAAATCCCCTCCTCTAAGTCTAAGTTTAGAATTTTGTTTAAGAGGAGTGAGTGCTTGTAAGGGTTGTCTTCTAAACCTGATAAAAGGAGAAGAGGAGTGTAAGAAGGAGGTTGATCTTCGCCTATTAAAGTAAGATTGATAGTGGATGTATGTGGCCTCGACGAAAGAGGAATCGGTGGAGTGGATGTAGGTCACGATGACCGAACCACTATATAATTGGCATGTTCTCTAGTTTGTATTTACTTCCTGCAATTTATATTAACTGCAAACTGCCTTCAATATGCTCTTATTTCACTTTCAAAGTTAAGCATTTTTGAGTTCGGTTTTATCGTACGGAAGGATTTTTTGAAACCGACGTTTTTATCCGCTGCACTAATTCACCCCCCTCTCTTAGTGTCGACTTGTTCCTAACAATTGGTATCAGAGCCTTATTTTCTCATTTAGTTTAATACCCAAAGATAAATGACTCTTTTCGGCTTTCAAAATGGTCACTCTTTCATTCGTCCTCTCTTTTTCAATGGGATCGACTACACTTATT